TCCAATTTGTATTTATTTAGAACCCTGTAATGAGAATGAGCATGGCCTATTTGGGCTTGTGGAAGCATACATGAAGTGAGATTTTTTTCGTGTCATGCACTGAGCTATAGCCCACCCTCACATCATCTCATTTAATCTTCACATCACCTCTTTGATGTAGCTATCAGTATCTCGGCTACATGGAGGAGAAAATGGAGGCTTAAGGAGATTAAGGAACTCGATCCAGGTCACTTAGCAAACAAGTTGTGCAGCCAAGATTTCAATCTAGGGAGGGCCCCTAATAACCAGTTTGAACTTTATTGTAATACTAGAGGCCTAATGCACAAAATTCGTGCAAGGGGCTCAGCCCCTGCCACCGAGGCGGAAGGATGTCCGGTCTAATTAGCATATTACATTTATTATTATAGACTAGAGGCCCGGTGCATGAAATTCATGTAAAGTGGGGGAGGGTGTCCCTCAGCCCAGCCTGCACCCTCTCCAATCCAGGACCCCTCGGGGCATATCTGACTGCCGGTTTAGGCCCGATCCCTCTCCCAGTCCGGGACCGCTGGCTCTTAACTGCTCACCTGCCTGCCTGCCTGATTGCCCCTAACCTCTCTGCCTGCTGGCCTGATCGCCCCTAACCGCCTCTGCCTCAGCCCCTGCCACTGTGGCTTTGTCTGAAAGGAGGATCTGGTCTAATTAGCATATTAACCTTTTATTAGTATAGATAATATTGTAATTCTGTAGATCTACAGACCTTTTTGGTTCTCCAACTCGGGAATGAAAGGAAGAGCTGTCTGGTGGCATATTACAGGATTCACAGGAGGAGGAAAGAACTGGAGTGCAGGGAGATCAGATAGGAGGTTGTGGCAGCAATGCACGCCCTGAAGATGGAGTGATTAGAGTTTGGAACTAGAAAACCTGGTTCCAGCCCATCTCTACCATGATGCTGCTGACTGGGGTACCTCAGGCAAGTTACAGCCACCATATCTCTGGAGCCTTCTTACTCCTCCCTAAATAATGGGTTCATAAATTGAGATGACAAAATCTCTTGGTTCTTTCAAATTCTAAAATTCTGCCTGATGCCTTTAAATTTTAATGCATTCTAAAGATTTATATATGAAGGCCCTAAATATCATCTGGAATCCAAGAAAGAATTTAGATGTCATAATTCTTAACATAGTTTTCAAAGTACAAAAGAGTAAAATTGTTTTTAAGAAGGTTTTCTAAACCAGACAAGCCAATTGTTTCTGCACCTTACTGTTTCCTTTGTTTAAGAAAATGATTTGGGTATTGCTGCTACAGCAGTGGTTGATGAATCAAATAGGAATATTACTCTGGAAACAAATGAAATGATTTAAATCCATCTCTAAGAAATGTTGGAGGCACAAATTGTATTGCCATCATATTAATTTGTTTTCTGAGCTCATATTTAATTCAAAATGTGATATTCCTTTAACTGGTCCAATCAACAGAGTTTAGAGCGATTTTAGATGGAGAACACAGGAAATAAATACAGTAATGTTGGAGCAAATAATCAACAAAATAATTGATCTGTATTCTGTGGCTTATGATGCTTCTAGAAAGTATTTTTAACAATTCCCTGAGGAATTGGCTCTTGTTGAAGCCAGGCTCTTCTCTCAACTCACATCTGCAAACTTTTCTCCATCCTCATCTGCTATAACAAATCCGTGTCCAGGCTCTGCTGAGCCCTCGGCCTCCATGTTTCCTTTCTCATCTACGAAGACTTGGGGATGGGGTTTTCATTCCTGGGTTGCAGAAATGGACTTCTCCTTAGACATACCCAACAGGCAAAGGAATCTTCCTTTAATAAAGGCCATTTATATGATTAAAACCTTCTAGGATGAAATCTAAATTCTGCAGTTGAGATCCCCATCCTTACAGCCAAGCGAATGCATCCATTCGCTTTCTTTAGACTTTAATCCTTCACATCTGAGAGTTTTCTCCTTGGAATGCTCTGTTCTTTCAGCCAGCTCATGATCATCACCTCCTTTGATTCTATCCTGAAACTCACTTCCTTCAGGATGTTTTCCTGGTTTAGTAGCTACTTAGCAAAGAAACAACTCCTACTTTTGAGCTTTCAATCATATTAAATACTTTGAAGATAAATTATTCACATCTAGGGGTAAATAACTTATAGATTTTAATTCTTTAAGAAACCACCCACCGCCCTGGTTTGGCTCAGTGGATGGAGCGTCGGCCTGCGGACTGAAGGGTCCCAGGTTGGATTCCGGTCAAGGGCATGTACCTTGGTTGTGGGCACATTCCCAGTGGGGAATGTTCAGGGGGCAGCTGATCGATGTTTCTCTCTCATCGATGTTTCTAGCTCTCTATCCCTCTCCCTTCCTCTCTGTAAAAAATCAATAAAATATATTAAAAAAAAGAAACCACCCACCAATAAACTAAAAAAATAAATAAACAAACAAATAAATAATTAAAAGGAAAAAGGAAAGAAACCATCCAAACAAAATAGAAACAGCAGAATCATAGATACATAGAACTGACTGACAGCTGGAGGCCTGGATGAAAAAGGTAAGGGATTAGATAAAAAAACACCAAAAACCCGCAGACACAGACAACAGTATGGTGATTGTCAGAATGGAAGGGGGCGCAGGGTGATGTGGAAGAGGGCAAAAGGGGGATAAATGGTGGCAGAAAGAGACTTACTTTGGGTGGTGAGCACAGGATGCAGTACGTAGATGATGTGTCATTGAGTTGTACACTTAAAACCTGTATGGTTTTATTAACCAATGTCATCCCAATAATTTAATTTTAAAAAAGAAAAGGAAAGAAACCACGTAGTGATTTTGTTTTTTTTACTTTGTGAGAGAACACTCCCAATTTTCAGTGTCTTATCCCCGCCCCTCCCCAATCCATACTAGACCTAGAGCAAAATGACTCTTTTTGGTGACCTCTAGTGGGCACGAGACAATCCTACAAAATTACGAAAAGTGAAGGGCAAAGTAAAACCCTTCTTAGTAACCAGCTGGGTTACTCTCAGGTCAGATGACCGAGCATCCCACCCAGCTCCACCCTTATTTTTTTCTTCCAGTATTTGTTTTGCATTTAACATAGTTTGCCTTACGACTCACCTGTTTCAGCTCTGCGCGGGCTGGACTGCCGGTGTCAGATGTCGCGTGAATTGCTGGGAGCAGTTTAAAATAATCCTGGCCAAGCGGAACCCATTGTCTAGGCATGGACCAGAGCAGAGCACAGGGCAGTTCGCCCTGCGGAGTCTTCAGGGGTTCTTAAAGCTCCAAAGGCCGGTGCTGCAGCCAGCTTGGGGATGCACGGGGGCAATCAAGACTTTATGAAAAGGAGGATGCAGACGAAGGCAAGGAGCAACTCTGTTCTTGCCGGTGGCAAGGCGATTCTCCCCAGACTTCCACCCCACTCTACAGGAAGAGTCATGATGGGGTCCGGGCGCGCTACCTGTAGGCGCCCTCTTAGGACCGGTGCCCCAGAAAGCGGGGACCGGGGCCGTTCTCCTCCGCGGGAGAGTGGCACCGAGGTTGGGCGTTGGGGTGTGTGGCCGCCCTCGGAGCACGCGGTACGTGATCTCCGCGCCGGGAGAGGAAGAGCAAAGTCGGCAAGGAAAGCAATTGCTGGGGTATCTTCTCTGAGAAACCCTTTGGTCTCAGAAACCGAGCTGGGTTCTGGATAGTTTCTGGAAAAAGCTCTCGTTTCAAACGCCGTCTGTCCCCGCCCCTCCAATCCCGCACCCCAGTCCTCACCCGTGCTTACCACGTTCCCTCCCTTTGGGGGCTGATAACGGGCTCTGGGGTACTGTCCAAGCCATCCCGATGGCCCCGGGCGGGACGCGGGAGCAGGTATCCCAGCCGCGGGGCTTGGCTCCCCCCTCCACTCGGGGCTCCCCGCTC